TTCACACTGAGAGCGTGTGACTTACTGAAAGTCACCCAATGGAAAGTCGAAGGTCAGCATCCAGAGTTTCTGGTGGGGGTTTTTTTGGGCTATCTGGTTGTGTTCTGGAAGAATTTGATGTTTCACCAGCATCTGTGGCTGATGTCTTCTCTGATTTCTCTGCAGATGCCAACCACAGATGCTGGTGAAACGTCAAACTCTTCCAGAAAACAGCCACATAGCCTGAAAAACCCACCAAAAACTATGGATGCCATCCATGAATGCCTTCGACTTCCCACTGGGTGACGTTCGGCAAGTCACACGATCTCAGCCTCAGGGGATGTCAATGGCAAACCTCCTCTGAACAAATCTTGCCCCCCAAAAAAGCCCATGAAAGGCTCGCTTGCATTAGGGTCACCATAAGTCAGAAATAACTTGAAGGTACACAACAACAGCAACAACAACAAAGCAGTGTGGCTTTTGGACTAGCTGGCTGTTGAATCAGCTCCTGGTTTCAGTCAGAACATTAAAAGAATGATCCAAGGTGCCCAATCCTTTCCCCCAAATAGAGGTTTAGCACCTTGGATAACCCCTTTAACATCTGGGCTGAAACTCAGAATGCCTTCAATGCCGCAGCAATGGGTAAATCCATATACTTGGAAATAATAATAGCAATGGCAAGAAGAAAAATAAAAACAACTATTCCTATTCCTATTTAATATTATTCTTATTGGATTTATTTATATCTCACCTTGTCCCCAGTCACAAGACGATTTACAAGAGTGAGAACAGATAGTTTGTTGTGGTGGTGGTTTTCAAATGGTTCCCGACTTATGTCAACCCTAAGCGTGGCGTAGTGGTTTGAATGCTGGACTATGACTCTGGAGACCAGGTTTCAATTCCCTGCTAGGCCATGAAACCCATTGGGTCACCTTGGGCAAGTCACACTCTCTCAGCCTCAGGGGACAGCAATGGCAAACCGCTGAACAAATCTTGCCCAGAAAACTCCATGATAGGTTTGGCTTAGGGTTGTCATAAGTCAGAAGTGACTCAGAGTCATGCAACACACATGGTTTGTCACCTGGTTGTACAGCAAGCAACACCTGCTGCTAGAAATTTTGCAAAAGTGAAGGAAATTTTCATTGGTGGGGCAGAACTCTTCTTTTGGAGAGGGCATTGCTCCTATTTTGCTCCTGTAGCTCTAATGCAAAAGGTTTTAAGGAGATGACAGTGTTGTCTTCCTATTGGAATTATTTACCTGCGATATGGGACAGGCATCATCCTTGACTGTAGCATATCAGTAGCCAAGGCTTTGATCAGGTTGGAGAGGAACTCTGCTTTCTTAGGACCCGGACAACCTAGAAGGAAAGGGCGAGAATAAGAAGAAAAACAAGAAGGCAATCTTTCAGGACCGTAAACTTTTAAGAACCCTAAATAATCCATGACTAGAGGCATCTCTCACTTGATATAGGCAGAGCCACACTACCATTCTGAATACACTCAGTCTCATTTGCTGTTGGAAGTTCTCCTCCACAATCCAACATTATCGTGGCTCCATCCCATGAAAACCTGGGATCTGTCGTTTGGTGAAGCATTAAAGCTCTCCAGCACAGCATTCCAAACATCTCATGAAACTACAAATCCCAGGATTCCATAGGATGGAGGCATGAGATCAAGCTGCTGCAATTGTGTGGTGTAAAAGCGACTAGGTTTGGCTTGCTTTGAATTTGGACAGGGGATTGCCCAGGAAGCATCCCAGATTTTGCAACAAAGCCAGGAAATAATTCTTCCTGAATCAAGGGTCTGACGCAGTACCAGGCAGCTTCCAACGTCCCTGTATAGAAAAATCCTAGGTTCATTGAGGTATACCTAGTAGAAGAATTTGGTTTGAATAGGGTTGCCAGATGTCAAGGTCTGGCCTTCAGCTTGCTCCAATTCACAAAGCCTCATGGCTTTGTTGCTGCAACCTTGCAAACTCTCTGAGAGAGCAGATGTGTTTGCCTATGTATTTATTGAATTAGCTTCCTTCCTAGTTGCTGTAGTGCCAGGACTCACCTCCGCTCTGCTCTGTATCCACCTTTTAGACTGAAGCAAGTTGCTGTTGTGAGTCTTGAAGTTGTTTCTGATGTAAGTGACCCTAAACTGAAGCTATCATAGGATTTCCTTGGCCAGATTTCATCAAAGGAGGTTTGCCCATGCCTTCCTCTGAGGCTGAGACGGTTTCTAGCATTGAGCAGGGATTTGAACACTGGTCTTCAGAGTCTGAATCCAACAAACCACTACGCCACCCTGGCTCTTTAGGCTTGATGAAGTTAGGCTTGATGAAAAGTTTCTTACCTTGTCTCCTTTCGTAAGTAAAAAGGAATAATCCTATCATTTCATCTGATCCAAGAACAGCACCTTTAGCTAAGACTTCTCTCTTAATTTCCAAAGAGGAACCCATGTTCTGTTTGTGTGTTTTAATGACAAGCTGTGAACAACTGTGGTTGGTACTTCATGCACAATGCTTAAAGACATCATGGGACGTCCCTAAATGACACGTTTTGGCTTCAAAAATCTCAGACCCTGGGAAGGTCCTGAATTGGCAGCCCTATACCTGAAACGCTAGAAGGTCATAGCTGCCACTCCAAATTGGCAATACTGGGCTTCATAGACCAAGCGTGTGACTCCAGATTCCTAGAGAGAGAAGGATATTGACCCCATCACTCCAAGGACCCACCTGGTAATGTCCGGTCCCGGAAAAGGGAACCCATTTCTGTGCTTTTGGCTGCTGCATCGGCGTCACAGTCTGGAGGGAAGTTTCTGAAAGATGGCAGAGACAGAGGGAAGAGAAAGCCAAGGATTATATTATATTATATATTATAGTAGATATGAAAAATAGTGTGTACGACAATACGATTTCAGTGTATGCCAATTGCTTATCTGAAAGGAAGATATAACAAAATCCCTATGGCCCAAAGGATTTGCATCTGCGAGTCTCAGAAAGTGGAGGATTTATTACACTATCTATTGAAATGCCCCCTATACATATCCCCAAGACAAAGGTGCTTAGGTTAATGTGTGTGTTGTGTGCCTTCAAGTTGTTGCCGATTTATGGAGACCCTAAGGTCATGGGATTTTCTTGGCAAGATTTGTTCAGAGGAGGTTTGACTTGCCTAAGGTCACCCGGTAGGTTTCATGGTTGAGCTGGGAATCAAACCCTGGTCTCCAGAGTCATAGTCTAACACTCAAACCACTACACCACATTGGCTCTTACTGCTGAAAACTGGTACACACATGTGGCCAAGCAACATCAGTATTGTCAAGATGGCAAAAATTATTAATGGGAAGAATATACGAGCTAGGAGAAAGTGCAATGGTTTGCTTTCGCCTGAATCTACAGGGAAGTGCAAGCTTAAACCTCTTCTGCTCCCCTCCTGGCTGAGTTAATGGAGTGCAAACATCTTTTGCACTTTGAACAGCGTTTGCAGCCATTGAAGTAAGCTGAGGAAGAAGGTGGGAACAAAAGAGAGAAACTGGGACATTAGAAAAGCAGTTGGAAAAGTGGGATGGCAGAGGATTAATCAGGATTGTCCCCTGAATTGGGACAGTTGGAGGTTAGGAGGGAAGCCTTTGAGGGATGAAGAGGGTAGTCTGTTGCTCCTCTTAGGAGTTCAAGGGTAAAGAAACTGACCTTGTGGAAGTCCCTGGAACTGGTCGGCCAGTGTCCACTCGCACACACCAGCAGTACCCAGTTGCCTGGTGGCACTGTACGGCCTTATAGGTGCCATCCCCTTCACATTCAGGGATGAAGGTGCCCTCTTGCTGGTGCTGCCGGGCTTCGTCGATGGCTTCGCGTCTTTCCTGCTCACACGAAGGTGGGTACTCTGCAAGGGTGGCAAATTGTAGTAGCAGCACAAGGCTAAGTGACCCTCAGAACAAAATAGTCAAACCAATTTGATGCCTGACCACCCACCCAACCCTGACACCCACTTCCAGCTACTGTACATCATTGGAGATTTTTCTTGGAATCAAAATCTGAAGCTGTTTTTACATTTCTTTGGTAGGAATGTTTGCTTTTCTAATTCTAAAATTTATTTTAATTACATTATGCAATAATATCACAGTCTATTTTGCAAGTTCAAGGAGCACAGGGTACGAGGGATGTCATCTGAACCCGTTACATATGGAATTAAAGAAAGGGAAATGAAAACAGGCAGGGGATCAAGAGTACTAACCTAAGAACAAACCATGGTCTGTAAAAATAATCCAGATTGAGACCACTTTAACTGCCCTGGCTCAGTGCTAGGAAATCCTGGGAATTGTAATTTATTATGGCACCACAGCTCTCTGACATAGAAAGCTAAATGTCTCACAAAACTACAGTTTCTAGAATTCCATAGCATTGAGCCAGGGCAGTTAAAGTGGTATCAAACTGGATTATTTCTACAGTGCGACTGTAGCCAGAGGATTAATTGAGAATATCCATTGACAAATCAGAACAGTTGGAGGGTATGTCTTCTACCCAGCCTTTTCCTTTGCAAGAGGTAAGTACCTTGTACCATCCTGTTATTTTGGAGGAAAGTTTCAGGGTTAGGCTGGTGGTGCCCCATTTGCCAAGAAACTGCCTCAGAGGGGGGAAAGATCTGACTTGGGGTGCATCTACACTGTAGAAATAATGCAGTTTGACCCCACTTTAACTGCCATGGCTCCATCCTACCGAATCTTGGAGTTTGCAGTTTTGTGAGGTGCCAGTATTCTTGGTGGAGAAGGAGAAAGACTTTACAAAATTACAAATCCCAGGATTCCATAGGATGGAGTTACAGTACTTAAAGTGGTGTCACACTGCATTATGTATACAGTGTGGATGCACCCTTGGAAGAGGGTATCTCATACTTGTAAGCTTGGATGTCCAAAGGAAAAGAGGTCTCACCTTGAACCTGTTTGACCGTCCGGTTGGGTCTGAAATCCGGGATGATGATAGGAATCAAGAAAGGCAAGGAAGTCCCTTCTGGGTGAAGCAAAGACAGAAACAGAGACACACATAGACACATATAGACACAAGACAGTAGGAACTGGAGAGCAGAAATGGTGTTTAAAAAGCATGGGAATGTCCCCTGTTTTTGGAACACAACTCCCAGACTTCCCCAGCCCCCATCCTTGGGGGGATGCTGGGAGCTGTAGTCTCCCAAAGTCATTTTCGTAAAACGTTGTGTTAAAGGGTGACAGCATACCATCCTCCCCATCACTCTGAGTTTGTTGAGACTGGGAGCCATCACACCTCATAATTATACTGGTTTGATACCATACTGCCATAGTTCCATCCTATGCAATTGTGGAATTTGTAGTTTGGTGAGTGGTGTGAGTGTTGGACAAGGACTTTGGAGACCAGGGTTCAATTTCCTACTCGGCCATGGAAACCCATTGGGTGACCTTGGGCAAGTCACACACTCTCAGCCCTAAAAAACCCTGTGATGGCCTCAGGGTCACCATAAGTTGGAAGTGAAGGCACACAACAACAACGGATGTGGAATCATCTTTCAGAGGGTGCTAGTTGACTCCCCTGAATTACCATTCCCAAAGTACTCCAAGTGCCTGTCTACACTACCAAACTAAACTGATTGAATCCTTAATCCCTCTGTTTTCAGGGTGTCTTCTAAATAAACTCACCAAACTACAAACTCCAGGATTCTATAGGATGGGCCCATGACAATTAAAGTAGTATCAAACTACTATAACTCTGCAATGTGGATCTCTTGCAATGGGATTGTGGTTGTGGTTGTGTGCTTTCAATTGTTCCCAGCTTATGGCGGCCCTAAGGCCAACCTATCACAAGGTTTTCTTGGCAAGATATATTCAGAGGGGGTTTGCCATTGGATTCATCTGAGGCTGAGAGAGTGTGACTTGCCCAAAGTTACCCAGTGGGTTTCCATGGTTGAGTAGGGACTTGAACTCTGGTTTCCAGAGTCCTAGTCCAATGTCCAAACTACTGCACCATGCTGGTTGTCTTTCCAATCAAATGTATGTGTATATATGTGCCTTCAAGCTGCCTGTTGATGTATGGGAACTCCATGCATTTCATAGGGTTTTCTTAGGGAAGGAATACTCAGAGGTGGTTTTACCAGTTCCTGATTCTGAAATATAGCCTACAGCACCTGGTATTAATTGGTGGTCTCCCATCCAAGTACTAACCAGAGCTGACCCTGCTTAGCTTCCAAGATCAGATGGGATCTGGTGCCCTTTTAGGGGATTTGTATTCACAGTTCTTACAAGAGTACCCACTAGAGGGCAGCCATTCTATAGATATAGATAGATATAGATATAAATATAGATATAGATATACATGCTGCAACAAATAGGACCTCCCCACTCTGAATATGAAAGATATTTGCAAAATTTCTCCATCATCAATTTCCACAAGAGTCTGCACCGTCAGCATTCAATCAAGACAAAGAGTTTTGTGAATGTTTCCGTCATTCGCACAAAAATGTCTCTGCACAATTTATGAAGCAAAGCAAACACAGAGACAGAAGGAGAAGGAAACTGGTAAATTGATGAAAAAGATGACAATAACCCATCCAATGCTTCTGGTTTATTTTAAGAGTCCATGTAACAAGAGAGTAGCTGCACCACCTTGTACAGTTTAGCCAGGATGGGAACCATACAGCCGCCCTCCAGATGTTGCTGGACTACAGCTCCCATCATCTGTAGCCAGCTTAGTCAATGGAAATGATGGAAGTTGCAGTCTGCATTTCTCAGCCCTGGGTTGCAAAACAATTACCAGAAGATAATTCCGGATTTGCCATCTCCATGTGATCTCTGGACTGCATAGAAATCCCTCCACACATCCCATGTCAACTGCATATGTGAAGGACTTTTTCAAGAATTTGGGACAGCAATTGGTTATACTGTATTATCATCTGATACTAAACAATTTTTTTTTTTGGATTTCAGAAATGCATATCTAAATTTGTAATATAATTTTGTAAGTATGCAAGAAGTTTTGTTAGTATTCAATTGCTCTGGTTTTTGGTTTTTTGAGGATATTGCAAAACCATTAGCCAGATAGATATAGATATAGATATAGATATAGATATAGATATAGATATAGATATAGATATAGATATAGATATAGATATAGATATAGATATAGATATAGATATAGATATAGATATAGATATAGATATAGATATAGATATAGATATATCCTTGCAAATATGAAAACTCTCATGAGTGGAAGGAGGAGAGAGAAACTGGAACATTTAAAAAACTGCCTAGAAAGTGGGATGAAAGAGGATTAACTGATATCCTCTAAACTCCCACAAACCTCTTTGCTCAGCATGGGCAATTGCTGGCTAGGGGATTCTGGGAGCTATATTCTCCAAATGGACATTTCCCCCAAATATTCTCCCTGGCCTTTCTTTATCCTGGAAACAAACCTATGCTGATGGTAAAAGAGAACACCGCCCTGCTGCTCACAGAGCCAGTAAGATGGGTATTGAACGAGACAGGAGATGGAGGAAGGAAGAGGACAACTTACCTTCTTGCTTGTGGGGCAGGGGGCTTGGCTGGGTGGGCCGGGGCCGGGCACCTTCTTCTGCGTTCAGGGAGGAAAAGAGGTCGAAGGCAACTATTACAGAGGTTTCAGTGTCATTTACTCTGTTCCAAAGAGTAGGGGGGCAAAGCTTAGCCCATGGACCATTTGAGGACGCAGGGCTGTGTTTGTGGCCCCCAATGGATATAATATTTTATAATATTTTAATTTTTTTTTCTTGAACCCCACATGGCCTCCAGTATGGCTGAAGTCTACAACTGCCAGGTCTTTCTGTCTGTCTGTCTATCCATCCATTTGTCTATCCGTCTATCCGTCTATCCGTCTATCCGTCTGTCTGTCTGTCTGTCTATCTGTCTATCTATCTATCTATCTATCTATCTATCTATCTATCTATCTATCCATCCATCTATCCATCTGTCTATCCTCTATCTATCTATCTATCTATCCATCTATCCATCATTTAATCTAATCTAATCTAATCTAATCTAATCTAATCTAATCTATCCTCTATATATCTGTCTATTCTATCTATC